TTGAAGTGTTTTCTTGTACTTTTAAGCCAATCAGATACCCTACGGGCTCGGAAAGCGCAACGAAACCATCAAATTTTAGCTAGAAACTGTATTTTTGTCGATTTTTATTGAATTTGAACTATATTTCAACGTTTTTTGATGGTTCTGAGCCACCAAACACACTTAAAGCATGCAGAATCGACTCAGAATAGGAAAAGGAGACGTTTAGGTCAATTTTATGCATTCTGGCGTTCGTAGATACAAGAAAACTGTTAAAATTCTTCAGAAACGTCACTTTTGAAGTGTTTTCTTGTACTTTTAAGCCAATCAGATACCCTATGGGCTCGGAAAGTGCAACGAAACCATCAAATTTTAGCTAGAAACTGTATTTTTGTCGATTTTTATTGAATTTGAACTATATTTCAACGTTTTTTGATGGTTCTGAGCCACCAAACACACTTCAAGCATGCAGAATCGACTCAGAATAGGAAAAGGAGACGTTTAGGTCAATTTTATGCATTCTGGCGTTCGTAGATACAAGAAAACTGTTAAAATTCTTCAGAAACGTCACTTTTGAAGTGTTTTCTTGCACTTTTAAGCCAATCAGATACCCAACGGGCTCGGAAAGTGCAACGAAACCATCAAATTTTAGCTAGAAACTGTATTTTTGTCGATTTTTATTGAATTTGAACTATATTTCAACGTTTTTTGATGGTTCTGAGCCACCAAACACACTTAAAGCATGCAGAATCGACTCAGAATAGGAAAAGGAGACGTTTAGGTCAATTTTATGCATTCTGGCGTTCGTAGATACAAGAAAACTGTTAAAATTCTTCAGAAACGTCACTTTTGAAGTGTTTTCTTGTACTTTTAAGCCAATCAGATACCCTACGGGCTCGGAAAGTGCAACGAAACCATCAAATTTTAGCTAGAAACTGTATTTTTGTCGATTTTTATTGAATTTGAACTATATTTCAACGTTTTTTGATGGTTCTGAGCCACCAAACACACTTAAAGCATGCAGAATCGACTCAGAAAAGGAAAAGGAGACGTTTAGGTCAATTTTATGCATTCTGGCGTTCGTAGATACAAGAAAACTGTTAAAATTCTTCAGAAACGTCACTTTTGAAGTGTTTTCTTGTACTTTTAAGCCAATCAGATACCCTACGGGCTCGGAAAGTGCAACGAAACCATCAAATTTTAGCTAGAAACTGTATTTTTGTCGATTTTTATTGAATTTGAACTATATTTCAACGTTTTTTGATGGTTCTGAGCCACCAAACACACTTAAAGCATGCAGAATCGACTCAGAATAGGAAAAGGAGACGTTTAGGTCAATTTTATGCATTCTGGCGTTCGTAGATACAAGAAAACTGTTAAAATTCTTCAGAAACGTCACTTTTGAAGTGTTTTCTTGTACTTTTAAGCCAATCAGATACCCTACCGGCTCGGAAAGTGCAACGAAACCATCAAATTTTAGCTAGAAACTGTATTTTTGTCGATTGTTATTGAATTTGAACTATATTTCAACGTTTTTTGATGGTTCTGAGCCACCAAACACACTTAAAGCATGCAGCATCGACTCAGAATAGGAAAAGGAGACGTTTAGGTCAATTTTATGCATTCTGGCGTTCGTAGATACAAGAAAACTGTTAAAATTCTTCAGAAACGTCACTTTTGAAGTGTTTTCTTGTACTTTTAAGCCAATCAGATACCCTACGGGCTCGGAAAGTGCAACGAAACCATAAAATTTTAGCTAGAAACTGTATTTTTGTCGATTTTTATTGAATTTGAACTATATTTCAACGTTTTTTGATGGTTCTGAGCCACCAAACACACTTAAAGCATGCAGAATCGATTCAGAATAGGAAAAGGAGACGTTTAGGTCAATTTTATGCATTCTGGCGTTCGTAGATACAAGAAAACTGTTAAAATTCTTCAGAAACGTCACTTTTGAAGTGTTTTCTTGTACTTTTAAGCCAATCAGATACCCTACGGGCTCGGAAAGTGCAACGAAACCATCAAATTTTAGCTAGAAACTGTATTTTTGTCGATTTTTATTGAATTTGAACTATATTTCAACGTTTTTTGATGGTTCTGAGCCACCAAACACACTTAAAGCATGCAGAATCGACTCAGAATAGGAAAAGGAGACGTTTAGGTCAATTTAATGCATTCTGGCGTTCGTAGATACAAGAAAACTGTTAAAATTCTTCAGAAACGTCACTTTTGAAGTGTTTTCTTGTACTTTTAAGCCAATCAGATACCCTACGGGCTCGGAAAGCGCAACGAAACCATCAAATTTTAGCTAGAAACTGTATTTTTGTCGATTTTTATTGAATTTGAACTATATTTCAACGTTTTTTGATGGTTCTGAGCCACCAAACACACTTAAAGCATGCAGAATCGACTCAGAATAGGAAAAGGAGACGTTTAGGTCAATTTTATGCATTCTGGCGTTCGTAGATACAAGAAAACTGTTAAAATTCTTCAGAAACGTCACTTTTGAAGTGTTTTCTTGCACTTTTAAGCCAATCAGATACCCAACGGGCTCGGAAAGTGCAACGAAACCATCAAATTTTAGCTAGAAACTGTATTTTTGTCGATTTTTATTGAATTTGAACTATATTTCAACGTTTTTTGATGGTTCTGAGCCACCAAACACACTTAAAGCATGCAGAATCGACTCAGAATAGGAAAAGGAGACGTTTAGGTCAATTTTATGCATTCTGGCGTTCGTAGATACAAGAAAACTGTTAAAATTCTTCAGAAACGTCACTTTTGAAGTGTTTTCTTGTACTTTTAAGCCAATCAGATACCCTACGGGCTCGGAAAGTGCAACGAAACCATCAAATTTTAGCTAGAAACTGTATTTTTGTCGATTTTTATTGAATTTGAACTATATTTCAACGTTTTTTGATGGTTCTGAGCCACCAAACACACTTAAAGCATGCAGAATCGACTCAGAAAAGGAAAAGGAGACGTTTAGGTCAATTTTATGCATTCTGGCGTTCGTAGATACAAGAAAACTGTTAAAATTCTTCAGAAACGTCACTTTTGAAGTGTTTTCTTGTACTTTTAAGCCAATCAGATACCCTACGGGCTCGGAAAGTGCAACGAAACCATCAAATTTTAGCTAGAAACTGTATTTTTGTCGATTTTTATTGAATTTGAACTATATTTCAACGTTTTTTGATGGTTCTGAGCCACCAAACACACTTAAAGCATGCAGAATCGATTCAGAATAGGAAAAGGAGACGTTTAGGTCAATTTTATGCATTCTGGCGTTCGTAGATACAAGAAAACTGTTAAAATTCTTCAGAAACGTCACTTTTGAAGTGTTTTCTTGTACTTTTAAGCCAATCAGATACCCTACGGGCTCGGAAAGTGCAACGAAACCATCAAATTTTAGCTAGAAACTGTATTTTTGTCGATTTTTATTGAATTTGAAACTATATTTCAACGTTTTTTGATGGTTCTGAGCCACCAAACACACTTAAAGCATGCAGAATCGACTCAGAATAGGAAAAGGAGACGTTTAGGTCAATTTAATGCATTCTGGCGTTCGTAGATACAAGAAAACTGTTAAAATTCTTCAGAAACGTCACTTTTGAAGTGTTTTCTTGTACTTTTAAGCCAATCAGATACCCTACGGGCTCGGAAAGCGCAACGAAACCATCAAATTTTAGCTAGAAACTGTATTTTTGTCGATTTTTATTGAATTTGAACTATATTTCAACGTTTTTTGATGGTTCTGAGCCACCAAACACACTTAAAGCATGCAGAATCGACTCAGAATAGGAAAAGGAGACGTTTAGGTCAATTTTATGCATTCTGGCGTTCGTAGATACAAGAAAACTGTTAAAATTCTTCAGAAACGTCACTTTTGAAGTGTTTTCTTTCACTTTTAAGCCAATCAGATACCCAACGGGCTCGGAAAGTGCAACGAAACCATCAAATTTTAGCTAGAAACTGTATTTTTGTCGATTTTTATTGAATTTGAACTATATTTCAACGTTTTTTGATGGTTCTGAGCCACCAAACACACTTAAAGCATGCAGAATCGACTCAGAATAGGAAAAGGAGACGTTTAGGTCAATTTTATGCATTCTGGCGTTCGTAGATACAAGAAAACTGTTAAAATTCTTCAGAAACGTCACTTTTGAAGTGTTTTCTTGTACTTTTAAGCCAATCAGATACCCTACGGGCTCGGAAAGTGCAACGAAACCATCAAATTTTAGCTAGAAACTGTATTTTTGTCGATTTTTATTGAATTTGAACTATATTTCAACGTTTTTTGATGGTTCTGAGCCACCAAACACACTTAAAGCATGCAGAATCGACTCAGAAAAGGAAAAGGAGACGTTTAGGTCAATTTTATGCATTCTGGCGTTCGTAGATACAAGAAAACTGTTAAAATTCTTCAGAAACGTCACTTTTGAAGTGTTTTCTTGTACTTTTAAGCCAATCAGATACCCTACGGGCTCGGAAAGTGCAACGAAACCATCAAATTTTAGCTAGAAACTGTATTTTTGTCGATTTTTATTGAATTTGAACTATATTTATTATTATTATTATTATTATTATTATTGACATCTTTCCCAACGGGGTAGACCCAATTACAGGGAAAGGAAAAAAAACAAAAAACAAAAAACAAAACATTATAGGAATTTTGTGTTGCTGAATGTAAAAAATTTAGCTAGAATAAAATCAAAATACATAATATTCCACAGATCAAATTTGACCAAATCACAATAAAGCAAATTGTCAATCTGCAAGAAAGACACTAATACGAAATATTTACCAATTGATACGTATGCCTTATATGCCATATTCCTGGATTATCACATTTAGGATAACAGAAAAATTATCAGTCAGGTCGCAGGTTTTAAAAATTCTATTACATACTTTGCACATTGAAATGATGGGGGACTTCACATGAATATTACTATTACTTAAAGGACAGTAAAAGATTTCACGTTGACGCGAATTATGTCTAGGTACTAGAAAATTCAGCTTACCTGTTAGCCATATATTATCTATTTTGTTGTTGATTAAATTAATAATGAATTTGACTCCAGCTGTAATTCTTCTATTGAATAGTGAATTGATATTAAATCGGTTCAGAAGAAGAGACTGATGCACTCCCCTTTGAGGATATACTCCATCTTCACAATATGACAGAAACTTAAGAAACATACGCTGAACCGACTCAATGCGGTTGATATGGACTTGATAGATAGGTTGCCATACAATCGAACCGTACTCCAACTGAGATCTGACTAACGCAAAGAATAAAATTTTCAGAGTTTGTACTTTTGTGAAATCCTTACCATTTCTATAAATGAAGCCGTAGATTTTATGCGCTTTAGCAACCAACTGATTAATGTGTGGAACGAACGTGAATTTCTCATCAAATAAAATACCAAGATCAGTAATATTCATAACGCGTTTTAAGTTTGTGTTATTGATTAAATACTGGAAACACAAAGTTGACTTCTTGCGAGAATACGACACAACTAAACATTTCAAAATATTCAAATAGAGTCGATTTCTTAAACACCATTGAAAGATGTTATCAAGATCGGATTGGAGGGCAATGCAGTCTTCCACAGAAGTGATTACTTTATAAATTTTATAGTCGTCAGCAAATAGCAGGCTATCAACAGACACAACATTTGAAATGTCGTTGATAAACAGTAAAAACAGCAATGGGCCCAAATTCGACCCCTGCGGTACACCAGAACTAGGGAATATTTTTTTTGACGTATAACATCTATACCTAACGCATTGATCACGATTTAATAAATAAGATTTAAACAAATTGAGGAGTGCATCTGTAAATCCAAATGATTTTAACTTGAGTAATAAAATGTAATGATCGATTTGATCAAATGCCTTAAGAAAATCAAGGTACACCACATCAACTTGTTTTCTGTCATCAATTGCTTCTGATGTAAACTGTGTAAAGCAGACTAGATTCGTGATAGTGGACCGCTTATCCATAAACCCATGCTGAGATGGACTAATATATACTTTGACCGCTGAATAAATATGTTTGTATAATATACCTTCAAAAATCTTGGCAAAATTGCAAAGTAATGAGATAGGCCTGTAATTTTTCACGTCCGCTTTATCACCTTTTTTCAGAACCGGACATATTAAAGCCGCCTTCCACATCGCAGGGAAGGTCGAAGTTTTTATTATTAAGTTGTATATATATACCAACGGCTGTGCGAAAACAGAAGCGCAATCTTTCAACAAAAAATTTGGAATACCATCCGGACCCATGGTTAGTGTATTTTTAGAGTTCTTTAATGCATTAAACACATCTTCTTCTAATATTTGGGGAGGTGAGACACAACCGATCTCACGAATATCAAAATTATCTGCTATAACAGATGGATCAGATGGAACATAAACAGAATTAAAGTAGTCCGAAAACGCATCTACAATGAGATTTGGATCATCAAAATTACAGTTATTATATTTCATAGTGCTAGGTATTCGCGATGTGCCTTTTTTACTTTGAATAAATCCCCAAAAACGTTTAGGATCTTCATGGAGACGATTTTCAATATCCGCCACATAGTTTTTGTAAGAGTTAAATATGGCTTGTTTGCTATTAGAGCGATAGAACTTGAATTTATTAAAGGATTCAGTAGTTTTGAGTTTCTTGTACTGTTTATACGCCAATCTCTTATACTGTAACAACGAGATAATGTCAACGTTAAACCAAGGAGGATAATGCTGTTGTCTTGTTTTGACCCGCAACTTAGGAACAGTTACTTGAAAGACGCTATTAATTAATTCATACAAAATTGAGCATGCTCCATCAACTGTGTTAGCTTTAAACAAGGAGGACCAATCCGTATCTAAAAATAATTGATACATACTTTGAAAGTCTGCCTTCTTAAAATTAAATGAATCAGCCTGGTCATTCATGCTAAATTGAGGAAGAACATCAGCTATTAAATTTAAATTAAAAAATAGAGCTGGATGATAAAGATCCTCTTTCACAAAAGGAGATAGTAGTTTGAAGACACTACACGTAACATTGGAGATTACAAGATCTAAAATATGGTTGTAGAAATTGTACACATTATTATACTGACGAGTATTACAAAATTTGATAAAATTATTTAATAAACAGCTGAAACGGTCATCAGATCCTTCCATAAAACCAGAGATGTTGAAATCACCTACAATAACTATATTATCCAAACCTGAGAAATAATTTAAAGAACTAAAAACATCAAAGAACAATTCAGCATCTTGGTAACACATCGATGGTGGCATATACAGAACAAATATGTAAAACTTACGAAAGTTTTTACATAACAATTTTACACCTACAATATCGATACTTGGAACTGTATCATATATAGAGGAGAGATCTAATTCAGAACATCGTAACTTAGAATTAATTGCTAATAGTACACCCCCACCTCTTGCCATACCACTCTTAATTGGATCGCGATCTTTACGAAAAACCAAATAATTAGGAGGAACTAATTCACTATTAAACATACCTTCAGTTGCCCAGGTCTCAGAAATCGCTATCACGTCAAAATTAGAAGATGCAACATTATTAAAAAAATTAGCAGTTTTAGTTCTTAGCCCTCTAACATTTTGATAGGCGCAGCGTAAGTACTTGATTTCGCATGGTGTAACAGTACGTTCTATAGATTTATCTAAGGATGTTATAAAAAATTGTTAGTAGAAACCGACAGAGATGCAAACCGATTAGAAGTTGCTACTGGAGAGGATGGTTCAGTATTAGGAGCCGTATTGTGATGCTTTGCATTGATGTTCATAAAAGGAGGTTTAAAACCCGGTATCTTTTTAATCTCCAGTTGAACTGGTTCAGCAAGTACAGTATTACGAAGCTTTGCCTCTGCAAACTTGAATGCAAAACAACAATCACGATCCCAGGCTGAATGCTCTACATCAATGTCAAAGCCATGCATGGTTTTTAATCTCATACAATTACTACATTCCTTTGTTTTCGCTTGACACGTATTAACATGGTGCTCACCGGAGCATATGGGACAGCTAATTGGTCTGAAACATTTAGTTTGTGTATGATTGAAGCCATTGCATTTGAAACATCTTGTAACAGTAGTATCATCATATATTTTACAGACATTTATCCCTACAAGTAAGGAGCCAGCATTAATTACTTTTTTATAAGTATGAATATCTAACTGAATAACTGCCTGTAAAACTTTTTTGTTTTTTCTCAACGGCCATAAATTTAAGAGTTTATACACAGTTGCATCTGCTAATAATTCTAGATTTTGTGATTTTAAATAATTCATAAGAGATTCTTTATCAAGGCAAGATGGTATACCTACAATCCGTACCTTAGGATGCTCTGATCTTAATACTACAACATCATAATCACTTGATAATTTATCAGTAGCAATTTGTTTTAACTTTTTAGAATTTTCACTACTGCTACATCCAACGATAATGGCACCATCTTTAGCTCTTTTAGAATTAGTTACGCCAATATTTTCATTAACAAGATTTATATTTCGCAATAAATCATTCTGTGTTTGATGTGAATCTTGAACAACTTTTGGCTTAATCAAAACTTTTGCCTGTGTATTAGCGGCTAATTTACCTGCATATGACCCACTGTCCTTTGCTTTATCACCACTATTAGTACTATTAGTTAACAATCGCACCAAATCAATATTAGATTGCTTCAAATTATCAACTTCCACTCTAAGTTTAGTTACTTCTTGCAATATTTTCTCAGTCTCACATGACACTATGCTTTGAATTACTGATCTGACTTCGACATTCTGCAAAACAGAACCCAAATTAGACGCTACAAAATTTGGAGAATCAACGAAATAATTGTACATTGGAACTTTAAAGACCCCATTACAATCTGCACATAAAAATTTCACTTGGGCAGAGTATCGCTGTAGACGCTCACAAGACGTTTTATCCTCCGGTAACAGCCCCAAACACGAGAAGTGCACCGGCCGGCTGCAACCGTCACAGGTAAACGACATGAATTTTTCAACGGGAGCTGTGCATACCGGGCAGAGTGTAGAATCAGGAATATCTTTAATTGTTGACGACGAAGTATCTCCTGTTACAGGCATATTAGCAACAATGTACGATTACAACGTAACCTCAAAATAAAGTAAACAAATCAAACGTCAACGTCAAACTCCAGACTTAAGAATCACAGTGGCCGCTGCAATGGACGCACGTGGCGACCTCGCACGGCCACTAAGGAAACAAACAAATAAACAAACGACTTGTATAAAAACTAATTCACAAAAAGAAACCAAATCGAACAAACTACATTAACAGACAGCTTTAAACTGCCTGGCCCATTCAGACAAAGTTTGTGATGTCAAATAGCACAGACTTACCAATTAAAGATTATATTTACTCCAAAGAAATTGAAAATAAAATGGAGACACAATCAACACGTCGAACTCACACTCAGAAAAAAAGAAAACGTTTTTTGATGGTTCTGAGCCACCAAACACACTTAAAGCATGCAGAATCGACTCAGAATAGGAAAAGGAGACGTTTAGGTCAAATTTATGCATTCTGGCGTTCGTAGATACAAGAAAACTGTTAAAATTCTTCAGAAACGTCACTTTTGAAGTGTTTTCTTGTACTTTTAAGCCAATCAGATACCCTATGGGCTCGGAAAGTGCAACGAAACCATCAAATTTTAGCTAGAAACTGTATTTTTGTCGATTTTTATTGAATTTGAACTATATTTCATCGTTTTTTGATGGTTCTGAGCCACCAAACACACTTAAAGCATGCAGAATCGACTCAGAATAGGAAAAGGAGACGTTTAGGTCAATTTTATGCATTCTGGCGTTCGTAGATACAAGAAAACTGTTAAAATTCTTCAGAAACGTCACTTTTGAAGTGTTTTCTTGCACTTTTAAGCCAATCAGATACCCTACGGGCTCGGAAAGTGCAACGAAACCATCAAATTTTAGCTAGAAACTGTATTTTTGTCGATTTTTATTGAATTTGAACTATATTTCAACGTTTTTTGATGGTTCTGAGCCACCAAACACACTTAAAGCATGCAGAATCGACTCAGAATAGGAAAAGGAGACGTTTAGGTCAATTTTATGCATTCTGGCGTTCGTAGATACAAGAAAACTGTTAAAATTCTTCAGAAACGTCACTTTTGAAGTGTTTTCTTGTACTTTTAAGCCAATCAGATACCCTACCGGCTCGGAAAGTGCAACGAAACCATCAAATTTTAGCTAGAAACTGTATTTTTGTCGATTTTTATTGAATTTGAACTATATTTCAACGTTTTTTGATGGTTCTGAGCCACCAAACACACTTAAAGCATGCAGCATCGACTCAGAATAGGAAAAGGAGACGTTTAGGTCAATTTTATGCATTCTGGCGTTCGTAGATACAAGAAAACTGTTAAAATTCTTCAGAAACGTCACTTTTGAAGTGTTTTCTTGTACTTTTAAGCCAATCAGATACCCTACGGGCTCGGAAAGTGCAACGAAACCATCAAATTTTAGCTAGAAACTGTATTTTTGTCGATTTTTATTGAATTTGAACTATATTTCAACGTTTTTTGATGGTTCTGAGCCACCAAACACACTTAAAGCATGCAGAATCGACTCAGAATAGGAAAAGGAGACGTTTAGGTCAATTTTATGCATTCTGGCGTTCGTAGATACAAGAAAACTGTTAAAATTCTTCAGAAACGTCACTTTTGAAGTGTTTTCTTGTACTTTTAAGCCAATCAGATACCCTACGGGCTCGGAAAGTGCAACGAAACCATCAAATTTTAGCTAGAAACTGTATTTTTGTCGATTTTTATTGAATTTGAACTATATTTCAACGTTTTTTGATGGTTCTGAGCCACCAAACACACTTAAAGCATGCAGAATCGACTCAGAATAGGAAAAGGAGACGTTTAGGTCAATTTTATGCATTCTGGCGTTCGTAGATACAAGAAAACTGTTAAAATTCTTCAGAAACGTCACTTTTGAATTGTTTTCTTGTACTTTTAAGCCAATCAGATACCCTACGGGCTCGGAAAGTGCAACGAAACCATCAAATTTTAGCTAGAAACTGTATTTTTGTCGATTTTTATTGAATTTGAACTATATTTCAACGTTTTTTGATGGTTCTGAGCCACCAAACACACTTAAAGCATGCAGAATCGACTCAGAATAGGAAAAGGAGACGTTTCGGTCAATTTTATGCATTCTGGCGTTCGTAGATACAAGAAAACTGTTAAAATTCTTCAGAAACGTCACTTTTGAAGTGTTTTCTTGTACTTTTAAGCCAATCAGATACCCTACGGGCTCGGAAAGTGCAACGAAACCATCAAATTTTAGCTAGAAACTGTATTTTTGTCGATTTTTATTGAATTTGAACTATATTTCAACGTTTTTTGATGGTTCTGAGCCACCAAACACACTTAAAGCATGCAGAATCGACTCAGAATAGGAAAAGGAGACGTTTAGGTCAATTTTATGCATTCTGGCGTTCGTAGATACAAGAAAACTGTTAAAATTCTTCAGAAACGTCACTTTTGAAGTGTTTTCTTGTACTTTTAAGCCAATTAGATACCCTACGGGCTCGGAAAGTGCAACGAAACCATCAAATTTTAGCTAGAAAGTGTATTTTTGTCGATTTTTATTGAATTTGAACTATATTTCAACGTTTTTTGATGGTTCTGAGCCACCAAACACACTTAAAGCATGCAGAATCGACTCAGAATAGGAAAAGGAGACGTTTAGGTCAATTTTATGCATTCTGGCGTTCGTAGATACAAGAAAACTGTTAAAATTCTTCAGAAACGTCACTTTTGAAGTGTTTTCTTGTACTTTTAAGCCAATCAGATACCCTACGGGCTCGGAAAGTGCAACGAAACCATCAAATTTTAGCTAGAAACTGTATTTTTGTCGATTTTTATTGAATTTGAACTATATTTCAACGTTTTTTGATGGTTCTGAGCCACCAAACACACTTAAAGCATGCAGAATCGACTCAGAATAGGAAAAGGAGACGTTTAGGTCAATTTTATGCATTCTGGCGTTCGTAGATACAAGAAAACTGTTAAAATTCTTCAGAAACGTCACTTTTGAAGTGTTTTCTTGTACTTTTAAGCCAATCAGATACCCTATGGGCTCGGAAAGTGCAACGAAACCATCAAATTTTAGCTAGAAACTGTATTTTTGTCGATTTTTATTGAATTTGAACTATATTTCAACGTTTTTTGATGGTTCTGAGCCACCAAACACACTTAAAGCATGCAGAATCGACTCAGAAAAGGAAAAGGAGACGTTTAGGTCAATTTTATGCATTCTGGCGTTCGTAGATACAAGAAAACTGTTAAAATTCTTCAGAAACGTCACTTTTGAAGTGTTTTCTTGTACTTTTAAGCCAATCAGATACCCTACGGGCTCGGAAAGTGCAACGAAACCATCAAATTTTAGCTAGAAACTGTATTTTTGTCGATTTTTATTGAATTTGAACTATATTTCAACGTTTTTTGATGGTTCTGAGCCACCAAACACACTTAAAGCATGCAGAATCGACTCAGAATAGGAAAAGGAGACGTTTAGGTCAATTTTATGCATTCTGGCGTTCGTAGATACAAGAAAACTGTTAAAATTCTTCAGAAACGTCACTTTTGAAGTGTTTTCTTGTACTTTTAAGCCAATCAGATACCCTACGGGCTCGGAAAGTGCAACGAAACCATCAAATTTTAGCTAGAAACTGTATTTTTGTCGATTTTTATTGAATTTGAACTATATTTCAACGTTTTTTGATGGTTCTGAGCCACCAAACACACTTAAAGCATGCAGAATCGACTCAGAATAGGAAAAGGAGACGTTTAGGTCAATTTTATGCATTCTGGCGTTCGTAGATACAAGAAAACTGTTAAAATTCTTCAGAAACGTAACTTTTGAAGTGTTTTCTTGTACTTTTAAGCCAATCAGATACCCTATGGGCTCGGAAAGTGCAACGAAACCATCAAATTTTAGCTAGAAACTGTATTTTTGTCGATTTTTATTGAATTTGAACTATATTTCAACGTTTTTTGATGGTTCTGAGCCACCAAACACACTTAAAGCATGCAGAATCGACTCAGAATAGGAAAAGGAGACGTTTAGGTCAATTTTATGCATTCTGGCGTTCGTAGATACAAGAAAACTGTTAAAATTCTTCAGAAACGTCACTTTTGAAGTGTTTTCTTGCACTTTTAAGCCAATCAGATACCCTACGGGCTCGGAAAGTGCAACGAAACCATCAAATTTTAGCTAGAAACTGTATTTTTGTCGATTTTTATTGAATTTGAACTATATTTCAACGTTTTTTGATGGTTCTGAGCCACCAAACACACTTAAAGCATGCAGAATCGACTCAGAATAGGAAAAGGAGACGTTTAGGTCAATTTTATGCATTCTGGCGTTCGTAGATACAAGAAAACTGTTAAAATTCTTCAGAAACGTCACTTTTGAAGTGTTTTCTTGTACTTTTAAGCCAATCAGATACCCTACCGGCTCGGAAAGTGCAACGAAACCATCAAATTTTAGCTAGAAACTGTATTTTTGTCGATTTTTATTGAATTTGAACTATATTTCAACGTTTTTTGATGGTTCTGAGCCACCAAACACACTTAAAGCATGCAGCATCGACTCAGAATAGGAAAAGGAGACGTTTAGGTCAATTTTATGCAATCTGGCGTTCGTAGATACAAGAAAACTGTTAAAATTCTTCAGAATCGTCACTTTTGAAGTGTTTTCTTGTACTTTTAAGCCAATCAGATACCCTACGGGCTCGGAAAGTGCAACGAAACCATAAAATTTTAGCTAGAAACTGTATTTTTGTCGATTTTTATTGAATTTGAACTATATTTCAACGTTTTTTGATGGTTCTGAGCCACCAAACACACTTAAAGCATGCAGAATCGACTCAGAATAGGAAAAGGAGACGTTTAGGTCAATTTTATGCATTCTGGCGTTCGTAGATACAAGAAAACTGTTAAAATTCTTCAGAAACGTCACTTTTGAAGTGTTTTCTTGTACTTTTAAGCCAATCAGATACCCTACGGGCTCGGAAAGTGCAACGAAACCATCAA